CCCACCCCTGGGCTAGGCCCTCAGGTAGATCCCTTTAATTCTTATTACTTTGCCTTCCCCTTCTTCAGGACTTCCTTCTGCTGGAACTCAGGAACCATGGCTTCCTGCCCCCTCCCCCTAAACCAGAAGCAATTGAATTGGAAGTCTAATTTATACACTGGACATGGAAGGGGATGTCTTGGAGCCTTTCTCTGTCCATCTGACCTGAATTCTTGCTTCTTTATTATGTGGGCAGCACCCTTTATTGCTGACACATAGCTAGCGCTCTTTCTGTCTGATTCCATCAGGGCTTTCCACTCCACATTGCGCCATGAAGAAAAAAATATTTTTTTTCTGTGCTAAACAGAAAAAAATGTCATCCAGCTCTTCCACTACATACCTATATGACAAGTCCATTAAGGCGTATTTCATACGCTGCACACAGGTGTTTTGTCCTGGCGTGTATCAGAACACCTGCTAGCTTTCACTCTGTAATGTTCCATTTCTCAGGCTCCGTGGGCCCACAAGGGTTTGCTATATTTTTTATTATATATATTTATGTCTTAAATATTTTATACAAGTCACACATACATGCATGATAGTAATTATTAATTACTCTGCATATTTGTCATTGATATAATGTGGAATCCATCAGTGTCATAGTAATAGAATTTTCCAGTAGTCCATTCTATTTTCTCTCCAAACATCATAGAAGTCCTTACTTAGTGGACGGTTTTACAGCTTTTCCTTATTTGTGTAATATTTTTTACTTGAGGATGTGTTTGCTCTAAGAAATACTTCTTAATAACGATGGTAGTCTTTCCTTAAGAGATGAAGTTGATATTTGCTCTAAAAAAAACATTATTTTGTGGGATGTTCTGGGGGGAAAAAAAAGAAAAACACGACCGGAAACATCATTGTACAAAAGCTTCTGTTTAACATCTCCTGTTCCTGATAAAACAGATGTACTGCATGGAAACATTTACTGGGTCTATTATTTTAAGGGGAAGAGTTTTAACACATTGTATATCGAACTACCATCCCCCCTGCCCCCAAATTTCCTAAAAAGTAGTAAAAACGCACTCAAATGTTTTATTATAAGTAACAAAATAACATGTGAAGATGAATTGACTGTGGAACATTTAATATGGTTGTTACTAAGTACCCGCTTCTGATGCAGGAACAGGTACATTTTGCACAACATACCAAAAATGTTATGTTTACAATATTGAGTGACAAAAGTGCACTCAATAAATAAAAACGCAGATAAAAATGTACAATGCTAGCAGAAAATGCCCTATCATGGACTATTACCTAACGAGGTAGAGACTTAGAGTTTGGGAAGAAAAGTTAAGAACTGAGGAAGGGGAGAGAGTTGAATCAGGCATTTAAAAAAAATTTTTTTGATGGTTTTGGGAGGACGTCTACTAGAGTTGGGTATTAATTAAATGGGCATTTCAGAGAAAATTTCAGAGGAACTGATAGGGTTCGTTATCACTGTGAGTCTTCCATACTGACTGCTGAAGAGGGCGACTTAGAATGAAAAAATGGCAAAATATACCTTTGCTTACCTTCTGCTATTTAAGTTGGTAAATTTCTCTACAGGACGTTAAGAGGTTAGCTATCAGGGCATTGGAATTGGACTGCACACCAGGAACCTCAGAAATACGCACCCCTTCTGTTGATTACACCTGAGTCTGACGTCATGCCAATTGGACTTGGAATGTAACTCAAACATTTCCATACATTATCCTGTAAGAACAGTGTGTCAAGTTTGCCTGTGATGAGCAAAGATGGCAATAAAAAGCAGGACCTTACCCAGAGAGAAGTTCTGTGGGGCTTCATGCTACTCCCTGCTTTCATAACAAGTGAGGCCCCAGGACTAGGGTGAGTGGGTCCAGGACAGACTTATCTCTGTCCCAAATCATACCGTTCTCAGACCGAGGCACCCCAGTACATTCACTTTGTAGTCTTTGTCTGTCACTGGATTCCAGTTACCTGTTTACATTTATGAATTTACTCTGAGTTACACTTATTATTTTATTGCTAAGTTTAAAACAATATCGATCTAGTTTGGTAATCATGCTAATCGTGAAATCAGCTACATGAGTAAATTGAACGATTAGATGGCACGTGAGAATTTTTTTAAAAAATAGATCTTTATTGTTGGAGAATAACAGATGTCCCCTCCCTTTTCTTTTCCCATTGATTCCTACCTACCTCTCACCTGCCCCTCCAAGGCCTTGAGTGACCTGCTCCTATTTCCAGAAGGTTAGCTGAAACTCACAAAACAGTCTTCACAGAGTACATGTGCAATCCTAAAGAATGTGGCAATTGTTAACACAGCTAAATACCATCTGATATTATTTCAAACGTGTATAATGTTAGTGATAGTACTCCTCTGAAACAGCCCATCATCCTGCTTATGACATGTCGCCCGGGGGGTGCGGGGACTGGCCCTGGACAGTGGACCACACACTGGTGAGGGCCTCCCCGTCAGCACCCCAGTAGGTTAGAATTTTCCTCTATTTGGGAAAAATATCAGTGTGGTGGTCTGTGCTCCGTTTACTAGTGTAACTCTTATTTTCCTGTGGCACATTCTAACGCTTGTAATGGCGCAATTGTCCTGTTTTGCTGCCAAAGCTTATCTCACTAATTATTTTCATCACAGGTAACTGGTTTAGTTTTCCTTTTCTTTTTCTTTCAAAGGGGATACCATTTTTTTTAAACTGTAAAGTGAGAGTGCTATCCTGCATGGTTTTATCGCTGGAAGTGTTTGCTTCCTGTGCTTGTCTTTATGACTTAACTAGAGGCCTGGTGCACAAAATTTGTGCACTCGGGGGGGGGGAGGGGGAGAGGGGGTCCCTCAGCCCGGCCTGTGCCCTCTCGCAGTCTGGGACCCCTCAGGAGATAACAACCTGCTGGCTTAGGCCTGCTCCCGGGTGGCAGAGGGCAGGCCCAATCCCTAGGTGCAGCCTCTGGTCAGGCTCAGAGCAGGGCTGATTGGGGAGTTGGGGCACCGCCCCCTGTCATGCACAGAGCAGGGCGGATTGGGAGGTTGCGATGCCACCCTCAGTCACGCTCAGGGTAGGGCCGATTGGGGGGTTGGGGTACTGCCCCCGTCACACTCAAGGCTGGGTCGATGGGGAAGTTGCGGCGCCACCCCCTGTCACGCACAGAGCAGGGCCCATCAGGGGGGTTGGGGCTCTGTACCCTGTCACGCACAGAACAGGGTCGATCAGGGGGTTGGGGAGTTCCCCCCTGTCATGCACAGAGTAGGGCCGATAGGGGAGTTGGGGCACCGCCCCCTGTCACACACAGAGCAGGGCAGATCAGGGATTTGGGGCGCCGCCCTCTATCACCCACAGAGCAGGGCCGATCAGGGGGTTGGGGCACCGCCACTCTCACACTCAGGGCATGGCCGATGGGGAGGTTATGGCTCTATCCTGTCACACAGAGCAGGGCCCGTGCACACACAGAGCAGTGCCGATCAGGGGGTTGGGGCGCCACACCCTGTCACCAACAGAGCAGGGCGGATAGGGAGGTTGTGGCCCCGCCCCCTGTCATACACAGAGCCGCAGGGCGATCAGGGGGTTTGGGCGCTGCCCCCTGTCACAGTGATCCCAGTTCCGGGAGGCCTCTCGGCTCCGCTGATCCTGGTGCTGGGAAGCATATTACCCTTTTACTATATAGGATAGAGGCCTGGTGCATGGGTGGGGCTGGCTGGTTTGTCCTGAAGGGTGTCTTGGATCAGGGTGGGGGTCCCCACTGGGTGCCTGGCCAGCCTGGGTGAGGGGATGATGGCTGTTTGCAGCTGGTCACACACCCTTCAGGGTGGGGGTCCCCACTGGGGTGCCTGGCCAGCCTGGGTGAGGGAATGATGGCTGTTTGCAGCTGGTCACACACCCTTCAGGGTGGGGGTCCCCACTGGGGTGCCTGGCCAGCCTGGGTGAGGGGCTGAGGGCTGTTTTCAGGCTGGCGGGTGACTGAAGCTCCCAACTGCTCCTTTTTTTCTTTTTTCTTTTTATTCTGGGCTAGCTTTAGCTCTGGCTCCAGCTCTGAGGCCTCTGCTGCTGAAAGCAGGTATCTGGTTTGTTTGGGTTCTATAATTGAAACAATGTATAACTCCAGCTCTGAGATCCCGGCTCGCTGAAAGCAGGTTTCTGGGGTTTTGTTTAGCTTCTATATTTGTTACAATGTTTCAAACTGCAAGCTCAGAGGCCGGCAAGGCAGGCGGGGAACATTGGAGTCCTCCATCACTGAAGCAAGCAAGCCCCATGTTAGCTTGAAACTGCCTGGCTGCTGGCTGCCATCTTGGCTGGCAGTTAATTTGCATATTGCCCTGATTAGCCAATGGGAAGGGTAGTGGTCGTACGCTAATTACCATGTTTCTCTTTTAGTAGATAAGATGACTTCTCAGTGCACTTGCAACATCTTGCATTTACTTCACCTTTTTACTAGATGCTGGAAGTTTTTTCTTTTTAAATTTTCATCTAGAAAAATTCATTTGTACTCTAGGAGCCTGGTGATTTTTAGGAATACGAGATAATACCAAGTTAACTTTCCACTTTCCTAAAGACACTTGCAATTAGCCCTACATTATGGAATGCCCTGAATATATTCAGACCTTTAAAATCCGATCGGAACTCTATTGAAAAAGAAACTGAACACAAACAGGTCGCTGTAAATTCTGTGTCCCAGTGACCAGCTGATCACACCTAGAGAATGTAGTCACCATTATCTATCAGTATTCGTCAGTTAGATTGTACCTTTTGCTTCTGCATATAACATTGTCCATATGTCAGGCTGTGGAGTTCAGAAAACAGTTCTATTTTAAGAGGCCAGAGCTCTCATTTCAAAAACACTTCAGTTTTCCCAGAAAATCTGTTTATCTCCCCCATCTCCTCCCACTGTAGCCAAGCGTTTCCCAAATCCCCCCCGTCTCTGGTTACAGACCGATTTGTCTTGCAGTGTGTGCCACGTTTGGAAGTCGCATTAAACCAGCATCTGTTCTGTTTTAGGAGAAAGCCGATGCCAGCCCCACGTCACTTCAGCTGCGGTCCCAGATTGAAGTAAGCACAGTGGCTTTAATCATCTCGTTTTGCTTCTGCTTTTTATTTTTTAAGTGATATTCTGATGAAGCCTGCCGCTCTGCCTGTACTGATGCTGTGAATTCTCTCTCCTAGGAGTCGCTTGGTTTCTGTAGCGCCGCGTCAACGCCAGAAGTGGAAAGAAAGTAAGTTTCAGAACCAGAAATTCTAGGAAAAGGGTCTTTCAGATCCTTGCTGAGGGGTATCGTGTTGTGTATGTTCTATGGAGCTTGCTGTCAGTTTCCTTATATGTTGTGTGTATGAGTACATGTACAGGGGTGGGCAAAAGTAGGTTTCTGTATAAGTACCCACTTTTGTGGGTCGGTAGTTAAATTACCAGCCATCATTACCTAGAAGATAAATCATAACTAAGGATATGAAATAACAACAACAATAAGAAGACAAATAATGCAAGTAAATGCTACAATAATAAGTAATGACTGTAAACGTACTTTTGCCCAAGCCTGTCTATAGGTAGATAATAAGAGCGTGTTTTCAATTGTAATTTATTTGGCGACGCCTAACGATTCTGCGAAGAGTTACTGATTTCACACTGCTTATTGTGAGTGAACCTTAAATGAATACCTGGAGGCGAGCGTGGAGAAAGGGAAAGGAGAGTTAAGTCAACCAAAATGCGTTTTCTTCTTTTACATTAGTTTTGGGTCTACGATGAAAGTCATAAATGAGGAAGCAAGGTACAAAATTAAAATACATTCCAGGGTCAAACCACGATTGAAACACCCTCTCTGCAATTCGATTTGGTGGGTGACCTTAGAACAGGAGTAAATGCTTGTGACAGAAGGTGGCAGATGCTCCCGGACCTTCAAGGTAATATTTTTGCTTCCTCATTCTAACTTGGACCCTGTCATTTTCACTCCCTTGGAAGATAATTCTATGTTATAGCTCGCATTTTCAGTATTTCTTTTACCTAGATAAAACAACACACATGTCTTTTTTTTTCTATGACCTTTCCCTTTTCTACTTTTTTCCATCATAATTATGCTAGAATGTTCTATTTATGACCTTCCGAGGTTAAGAAATTTTGAGAAAGTCCACTTGTTTAAACAGACACTTCCTTTGGCACAGGGCCACCTATACTGTTTCATGCCAAGAGAGACATAGAAGTGGTTTAGGAATAAAGTATTTCTGGAATGAAAAGCACACGTTGGGAGAGCGTGTGTGCGCTTTACAGCACAGCCCTGCCTAATCCGTCCACGTGTGTGTGCTGCTGGCCGCGCCGCTTCTAGGGGGGAAGGCTGCTTTGCCAAGCCTTCACTCTCAGTTGAAGAGGCTCAGCAGATCCGGTTCAGGACCGAGGCCCCTGGGGGGTGATGCGCAAAAGAAAACCAAGGCACTGCCCACTCAAGGTCAGAGGATGGATGGATGTGCAGTTATCATGAATTTTCTTTGTTTTAGTTGCCTATATTCTCCCAGCAACTTAGTAATGTGGAGGAGGCTGAACTAGCCACAAGATGTGACTTGACAATGACCTTGGAACTGGAGGTACTATGATGTTGAGCTGAGCGTGGGCAGAAGTGTTAAGTGAGTAGGCTGTAGGGTCACCTGACCTACTTTGTGATTCAGGCTGAGAACTCAGGTGGTTCCCTCAGAATCTCCAAATCCTTCAGGAAACAAGAAATGTCTGCCTTTCCTCCCGAGAGGACGTGACTCACCAAATGTGTACTAATCTTAGGCTTGGCGTTTCTTCTTCCCCTCAATTGTGGGGAGTCATTCTTTCCGTGTTTGTATCCTTCACTTAGTGAAATGTGGCATGACTCTTGTGGCCGACAGAGAGACTGACAGCCTCCTCTGAGGTTAACAACAACAACAAAAATTGAAAGCATACATACAGGAAAGCTGTTGACAGACCGACCTCTTCATCTGCAGTACTGCCATTTTGTTTGTGTTCTTTCAAATGGTTTACTTAAACTTTGGTGTTCCTAAATAAATGGACAGTTTTAATACATTTTGCTCTTCACTTTCTTATTAATAGTTTTTAAAAATCATGATTTTTTTTTTTACTTTAAAGAACTGTTGAAAAAATGTTACACTTACAGAAAATTTACAATTGTGCAATGAATGTCCATATAACTTTTACATAAACTCACTGATTTTCACACTCTTGCTCTCTCTTTTTCCTATATAGTATCACTAATCATGATTACTGCCACACTATTTGGGAGTAAATTGCAGACATCATGGCACACTCCTCTAAATACTCCAGCTTATATCTCCTAAGGACATAGACAATCTCTTACAGCCACAATATAATGACCAAGTAGAGGCATTTTAAGACTGATTTTCCTAAAGTACAGTTTATATTCAAGTTTCTTTCATTGTCCCAGCAGTGTTTCTTATAACACTTCTTTTTCAATACAACACTTAAAAAAAATCATTCATTGCATTTACATGTCATGTTTCTTGTCACATTTAATCTGAAAGGACTTCTTGGCTTTTCCTGGTCCTTTATGACGTTGATATTTTTAAGGAGTGTAGGCTGGTTGTTTTGTGAAATATTCCTCAATCTGAGTTTCTTTTTAAGATTCAGAGAACGCAGTTTTGATGGCAGTTTTGATGTTTTCTCCTCGGTGCCTCATATCAGTTTGTCCCATTATTGGTGTTACTGATTGCAATCATTTGATTGAGGTGATGTCTGTCGGGTTTCCTCTGAGAAGTTACAATTTTCCCTTTGCATTAAAAATTATTCTGTGGGAGATCACCTGAGACTTTGTCTGTATCTTGTTCCTCATCAAACTTTTACCAAAATAGTTTTAAATTCCCTTTTAAAAAAAAATTGATTGTAGAGAATGAGGAAGGGAGAAGGAGGGAGGGAGGGAGGGAAGGGGGGAGGGGGGGAAGGGGGGAGGGGGGGGAGGGGGGGAGAGAGAGAGAGAGAGAGAGAGAGAGAAAGAAACATTGATCAGTTGCCTTCCATACTCCACCTGACTGGGGATCAAATCTGCAAGCTGGGTATGTTCTCTGATCAGGAATCAAACCTGAGTCCCACTGAGCCACAGGGGCTAGGAGATTCCTTTAATGATTCTTGCCTGAATCAATTTTAACTATGGCTCACAGAATGGTGGTACTTATTCTTAAATTAATAATTATTTTGTATTAAATCTTCCAAAAATGATTATCTAGAAAGATTGAGGTATCACTCTGGGCACTCTAGGTCAGATTATAATCGGAGTAGGTTTAATGCAGTGTTTATGTTGAATTGTTTGTATTTGTGTACTTGAAAATGCAAATACTTTGAAATGCAAAATCCTGTTAGTCTTCAGATCCAAATGCTTGCTGGTAGCTTCCCAAGCCCTGGAGGATGACCTGGCAAACCAGAGGGTTGTGTCTGGTGCCAACCAAAATATCCCTCTGAGTCAGCAGTGTTGTTTTACGAGTAGAAATTGTCTTATGTTTTTTATTTGAAAGGCAAGAGAACTTAGTCAACAAAAGTGGACGAATCCTACAGCAGCCCCGCCCTTAAACGCAGATTGTACTAGACCACGTGGGAGTCGAGCCACTGGCCCTTGTGACTCCTGCCTTCCAGAGCTACTGTCCCCCTCACCCCACCCAGTTGTCTCAGGAGCCTGGGCACACCTTGCTTCTTCCCTTCTCCCCCTAGTTAAAACCTGCTTAAGGAAGGTTTCAGGCATTAATTGTGAGGGAAATGTCTGATTTCTAAAAAAACACATAATCTCTCCCAGGAGTATTTAGCATTTAACAGTACTGTAATGATACAGGTCTTAAATTATAGCAATACTAGAGGCCTGGTGCATGAAATTCGTGCATGGGTAGGGTCCCTAGGCCTGGTCGGCTGGGGCCTCCCTTCCCCAGCTGCTGGCTGCTGGCCAGGGCCTTCCTTCATTCCATGCCGCCCCCTGGTGGTCAGAGCACATCATAGCGATTGAACTCCTGGTCTCCCGGTCAAACTCCTGAGGGGACAGTTGGCATATTAGCCATATATATATATCTATGTCTGACCAGAAGAGGTGGGCATTTTGTAGGGGAGACAGGCAGTGAGAAGTCCGACAACTGACATCACTGCCCCTGGATACCCTGCCTGGTGGGGCTGATAGCTGATACTAATTTGGCCTGGAGGTGTGGATGACTTGCATGATAGATAGATGATAGACGATAGAGAAATAGATAGATGGGGAGCTAGAGAGGTATAGAACAGACCTGCCCCCCACTGTTTCGACAAAAGCCCCATTCATCCTAATGTTCTTACAGTCTAATCTCGCCATGTTCTTTCACTGAAATATAATAAAGAAGACCAAAGGAGCTTTCACTGGAACCTCTTCTATTTATATCTATTTATGTTGGCTATTGAGACTGCCTACTCATTACACCAATCTTCGGTTTGTGTCAACTGGCTGAAAGGTGAATGTTAGTTAAATTTCTTGTTATTCACCAGTTAGTCTCAAGAATATCTAGAAAGCAAGGCCATTTTGCTCAGAGATATCTTTATAACTCTATCTATTAGAAATGAGTTTAACCTCAGATAATGGAAAGCATGACAAATAGTGGCATAAACAAACCCAAGGTTCATTAGATAACCCTTGTCCCATGGTTAGCACTGAGGCTCAGTAAGCTTTCAGGAACCAGACTGTCTTTTTTGGGGTGTGTGTGTGTGTGTGTGTGTGTGTGTGTGTGTATGCGCACACCTGTGTGCTTGTCCTCCTGTTTTAAAGTGGCTGCTGCATCTTCCAGGCAGAAAAGAGAGACAAACAGGGTGAAGGGAGAAAGGTAAGGGGGCAAAAGACCAAAGGCACATTTTTTTAAAGCTTTCTGAGGAACCCCATGCAACCCTGTATCTCACTCGTTTCTCCCTGCAGCTCCTGTTCAGGGAGCACTAGCTCTGTATACAGGATGTTGGCCTGGGGTCTGGGATATTGTGCTGAAGAGCTCACAAGAGCTGCATGTAGGGAGATGGGTTAGGAAAAATTATATGTCTAAAATGGTGCTTTGGGGAAAATAAAGCAAAGAAAGGGTTCCCAGAATTGGGGCAGTTGGCCTCCATAGTCAAAGGGGCGTTTGGAGAAGTGAGTTTTTAGCTGAGCCCATTGCTGCCCTGAACAAATCGGGCTTCCCAAGGAAGGAGGGAGAAGAGACAACGTGTAGGAAACTGGCAGTATTTTCCACAATAATT